GTAATAGATTTGCGGATTAATATAGTCATCATCTATACAGACAATAGTAGTAGCATCACACATTCAATAAGAGAACACTTGTATAATAAACCGCGGAACCAATCCGTTCCTTATTTACAAGACCCGGTCGATATTTTTATTGTGTCTGGTACAGCTTTATTCTTAATTTCCTTCTCATGGTTTGGTCATTACGAAAAGAAATGGTCTTTTTTTATATGTGGCTTATGTTTCTGTTTCGCCATCTTTCGTCCTACTGCTACATTACGCCAAAGAAGAGCCAAGAAACAGTTGATATAAAAAAAAAGATATCTGGAGTCCCTCCACCAAAGCTTGCGGAAAGACATTCGAGTTCAGTTATCATGTGTTCGTTTGTAAACTTAAAGCACAATACACAATCGAATGAATAAATTCACAAATAATTCTCATTTCAAACTTTCTTTTGCCTTCCTCCTCACACATTCCCACCTATCACCAATCGAAGCCAACACCTCTTCACCACATCCTCGCACCTCTTCCTCATACTCTCTCTATTCTCATCTCAATGATTGGCTTGCATTATTTCATCTACCGGCACAGTTTCGTCATCTGCGTCACGATACGCAAAACCGATACTGACCTGCCATGCAAGAAACACACTAACTCCACGGAATTTGCTGAATCGACTGGTAAGCTGTCGAAAGTGATTTTGGTTAATCTTTTGTCACAATGTTGCTTATATATCGTGTTACCTGCTGTGTTAAAAGATAATTATCTCCTTCCCATGTGGGATTTGGGTATAGTTCTGCGAGTATGTGATAAATCCATTGAATTTCGAATAGCCATATCCACCACATATAAGCCTACAATCTTCAACTGCCACCGTAGTAGTTAATGGTTCGAGAACCTGCAGAGAGGTCGCGTTTCATGTACGTTGCATATTACAGTTCCGATAAAAATGGTTATTTAGTAGTCATAAAAGCCAGTTTCTTTCGGTTTTGTAATACACATACTATGTGGTGGCTTAGTCTGATCACCAAAACGTGATCGTCACTGTACTAAACTATTAATACCTGCAGAACACAATACGCTCTTTGTTACCTACATCAATTTTGACTGGTAATTACAAAATACAGTTCGATACTTCAATTCAAAAATGCGCGTTTACTTGTAATTATATTTATTGCGATTATTAGTTAGGAGAGATAGAACTTGAAATGGTAAAAGCTTGTAATTTCTTGGAATTCACGTGGACCAATGAAAAAAAAAACAACATTGGTCGTTAATTCGTATGGAGATGGTATACTCGTGCCAATGGACAATACATCAATGAAAGTTTGCACACAGGAGAAGATAGCTATAGACAAACTGCAATTTTACTATAGAAATCGTGTCATTGTTATGGCTTTGGTAAATCGAATAAATTTGCAGTACAGTCAACCCTGGCTATACCAGCATTGCATATACCGGTTTTGCCTTTATACCGGTCCAATTTCGCTGAACCAAAAAATTCCATATTAATCTCACCCTTATAAGGTAGATCTTAATAACTCTGTTTATACCATGTAATATGGGTTTAGAGTTCGATGTTGAATTTGAGGAACTGCTGTGTGTGTTACTCGAAACCTATTGTTTACCGTATTGGGTAAGTCGGAACAAAAAGTCATTGTTTGTTATTAACTATTGTACAGTATTAAACACGAGTAATTGCCAAATGTCTCTTCATATTCATAGATCGTGGTGTTTCGATTAAACTTTACAAAATAGGAATATTCGATGTGCATTAACATTTTTGTTATACGGTACATTTCCCATTGTAAACGCTATACTTTTATTATTATGTTTAAGCTTGCTAGTACGGAATTACTACCATAAAATCAGTTAATTCGACTTGCCTTTGACATACCAGTCATGGTTAAATTCTTATTCAAAATTTTGAGTCACTAAGTGATAGGATAATAGACGACAACGTTAGTATTGCAAAATAATTATTTCAATATCAACATGTAAACAGTTACCTGCAACTGAATCGTAACTGTTCCGCGGTTTAGGCAAATCTCCAGTAGGTAAGAGCTTACTAGAATACTTATTCTCCTTTTCAAGACGTGATAAGGGTTTTACATCATTATAATAAACGGCATTCCACATGTTGTCATCTTTGTCCACCTCATCATAAATATAAAGTGTCAATGTAGATGGACGCTTATCAGGATCAGCATCACAACACCACGCGGCAAGTTTCTTGTATTCCTCTGGTGCGGAATCAGGCATCGATGGTCGTAGTCCGTCTATAATATTACATACTAAATCTCTATCGAACTGCCTATCTCTAAAAGGTGGTTCACCAGTAGCAATCAAATACATAATGATACCAAAAGAATACACATCTGATTTTTGAGTAAATTTGCAAGTACGGAAGACTTCCGGTGCAATGAAAGGTAAAACGCCTCGAATGTTTGAATTTTGTTGACGTGAATTCACCGATTGAGAAAGACCAAGATCGCATATTTGGTCGCTCGCAACAACAATGATGTCCCAAATTTGAATCTCTGAATGATAAGACGCGTAGTGCGTTGCAGATTACTACATAGGCAATAATTATGTCTAGTCACGAAAAATACTCCAGGGATCGGTTTAATCATAGCCATCTTTGGCACCGGTGTGAGTGCATGGATGTAGATGGATGGCAAGATTGACAATCTCGATAGGCAAAAATCGACAATCTCAATAGGAAAATGGATGCAAAAATAGACAACTTAGCAAGAAAAATAGAAGTGAAGATCGATAAAGTGATTGGCTTGATAGTTTCCCTCCACAGGAAACGAGAAGCCAACGCTAGGTGAGATTATTTGTGTATTATATCTGAAGTTTCCAGCAGAGCTATATTAACTATTTCTTCTCCAAGCATTTAGTGTTGAGGATATTTTTCGGGGCTTCACAAAGATAACACCCCGCCCCCAAAGATAGCTAAATCTCTACAAGAACGAGGTCATGGCTCGAGCATAGAAGGTTATACAGAGCAGCATGTCAAAGATACAGTTAAGACGTACAGTATGTACAGTAACCTTAAATGACGTAACATTTTGATTTTTTAGGAAATCACAACGATGAACGAAACTTTGGAAAAAAGAATGAATTCGGGATTCGTCCTCTTGCATTGATACTGTTGTAATAGTCTTTACTGATGTTTGGGCAAAACTCGATCTCATTCATGAACAATGTAATTTTTTGGATAGTTAATTCGAAGAGAAGTTCAGACAAATAAAACTTCCACACCACTTCTTGTGAACGGCGAAATGCGTTTTCTTTTGGATTATAAATATTATGGTAGTTAAAATTTAGTTATAAAAATGACCTTGGTTCCAAGCTTTTGCTCTGAAATAAATATCTAATTGCCGATGAAATGGGGACAAACATTCACCAACATTACTCCGAAGTTATCCTTTGATTGTCGGTGAAATGATATATGGACTCGAATCCAACTGTCTCTAATTGTAAATAAACATGATTTACCCTCATCTTCCGGTAGTACGGTTGTTTCGGAATTTATGTTGTCCATGTGATACAGGTTCCCCAATGATGCCTCGTATTTGCCTTTGTTAGAACAACTTGCTTCTGACACCACTTCAATGCAGGTATTGATTTCGTTCTCGCCAACTTATTGGACTCGAATATGCGATTTTCCGCATTTGTTTTTTCTTGGCGTCTTTCTTATAGTCACAGTACAAATCGATGCTCCGAACATATAATTATAGTCTTCACTTTCCAAACGTTAGATTAATTGCGGTCGAAAGATTCGACGCATCTGTCTCCATCATAGATATCTTGTCCACAAGAGAGCCAATTTCTCGAGAAATTTCTTTTTAGCTTAAGTTGGCTTGGAATGTAATCATATCGCGTTATGATTCTTGGGGATAAACGAAATCACAATTTCCTGAGTCCTCTCCGAGAGTCACTTTCAATTAACGTCTGATGCACAATCGAAGGGTTCGGTTTGGTCTTTGATTTACATTTGGATTGATTTCAGAATCCGAGTTTCAGATGTCTAATCATATAAATCAACTAACAGAATACCGGTTTCTTAAAGCCTTACCAGAATGGAAATGATCGATTACACAAAGCTAATATACAACAAAACGATACAACTCTGTCGTGAAAAAGAAAAAAAAATTAGATTTACCTCATATATAATACCAGATGATTTGTTATTATTATTGATGTTTATTATTTTCGATTAGAGAAGAGAGTATGGGAAGCTGAAGTTTCATGAATGGTAACTTTTTTAGTAATGATTTCCCTTGAGTGTTTGACGTTTATAGAAATCATTACTCAAACCTAGACAACGTTTGGACGACGTGCCCGAGTGGTCTAAGGGGCCAGGTTTAGGTCCTGGTATGGAAACATGCGTGGGTTCGAACCCCACCGTCGTCATAATAATATGTAATTAAACATATGTGGTCTAGTGCAATATTTTGCCGCTTCGCTAATTAGTTTAACGTTCCAATAGCTTGACGCTTTCTTTTCATTACTATTAACATTGGGATACTGGCGTTGGCGATGTTTCCAATTGATGTAAAGGTCGGTTTTAGTAACATTTCCTTTTACTTTACCGCGCGATAAGTTTTAGGCCTGGTAAACTAGTTTCGAATATAGCAATGATACATCACAACTAACTGGATGGGTTCTTTATCACAAATTTTCACATTTTCACCCCTCTTGAAAGCTCAAGCAAAGAACATTCTTCCTGACTGTCCCCATATCGGCAGAAGGAGATTGATCTTGACAAAACGATAATTGCCAAAAAATGTGCGTCTATCTTTGGGTTGTGTAGAGTTAATGCGTTGGGTAAATAAAGACAATCACAAAGTCCTTAGAGTTTTATGTATTGTAAAGATTCATGATAGGGTCAGTGGGTCCCATCCAGCTAAACCATTTTGTTTCCAAAGTGCAGTAAATAATGATTTATTTCGTAAGTTAGAATCTCGAGTAGCAATATAAATTATATTCCTTGCAATAGTATTCGGTCAAAATTCATCTTTGTCACTATCCTCCATATCACTCATTCCATCTGGTAATCTATATTTCCCACTAGCAACACCTTTAGCGTAGTCCATCACTATTGTCAGTTCGCTAGGACTTAAATCTTCTAAAAAGCTCAAAGTATTTTCTTCCAGTTTGGAATAAGCCTCCTGGCCCAAGCCTTGAAATAGAATGTAGGTTTGTGTTGCGTACTGTATATGTTTCTCCGCCTCATCCCACGGACATTGCAAAGCATCTCGACTTTGTTGAACACTCATAGTTTTGGGGTTATTCTTTAAATACAGCTGTAATTCTCCCAGACGAATTGTAGCCTTGAGACGACTTCTAAAAGTAGCCCGTCTGTTACGAGAGATCCCAAACTCTTTATTTAATCGTCCTCGGATATCTTCGGGATTGGTTATCGCCCGGAATGTGAGTGGAGTAACCGTGCCTTTTGCAGCGTTACGTAATAATCGACACAAATCATAATAATCCTCGTCAACTAGAAAAGGCATTGAAGGATAGGCACGTGGAGGATATTTCCTTGCTTTAGACGCAGATTCTTGCTGTGGATTGGGTAACGGTGAGGCTACAGGAGACGAACGCGCCGTAGTAGATGTCATATTAGGATGCATGGGGTTGCTGAGAATATCAGAACCTGTTCCATCTGATCTGCTCGATGATGGCATTCTGCTTCCGGACAAGTCTTTTTTTAGGTCCATAATTGCCGTTATTAGCTCATTCACCTCTCTTTGGGTTACGGGCGCTGTAACTGATTCTTTTGCCTTTTGTTTCTGCGGAGAGGCATATCTCATTGGCGTTGAGTATTCTTCAGTCGCATTATATATTCTCGTATCATCTATCACTTTGTCTCCAAGGACTAATTGAAACTGTGGGCGGAAAATGATGGTTATGGAGGCATGTCCTGCGTTATAAAGCTCCCTAATCATCTCTGCTAGCGTGTCTGGCTTAAATGGAAAAGACAATTTGGGTGGTTTCAGATTCTCGGTCATGACTACGTATGGGGGGTGCTTGAGAAGTTTGAGTGATTCTTGTGATGTCCTACTACTATGTGAAAAGATATCGATTGCGTAACATACATTCTTAATAAAGACCACAATGGTTGTATGTCACATGGCTACCAACATGCAAGAAAAAAATTTTTTAGACCTTTTTGTTAATATATAAAATATTCGAAAATGACTAAAAGAAAAAGACAAAACAAACCAACAGTCGATGACGACAATGAGGACGATCAAATGGACATATCTGATGATGGAACGTCTGACGAAGAAGAAGAGGTATTGACGATCAAGCTTCGAGTTTGTCTATAAGACAGAATGATTGATCGGTTCAAATCTGTTATTCTGACCAAATTTCGCATTTAGTTAGAAGACTTGACTGTTGACACAGAATTCGAGTTTTTTGATCCACAGAAACAAGATTTTCATGGAATTAAAAGACTTCTTACTCAATTATTCTCATCAGATGCGAAACTATTGGATCTCTCAGAGTTAACTGAGATAATACTAGATCAACCACTGCTTGGAAGTACAGTGAAGATAGATGGAGAGGGGGCCCAGGGAGACCCATATGCATTATTCACAGTCTTGAATCTCGGTGTCCATAAGGTATGTAACAATAGCTATGTATCGTAAGAAGCTAGACAATGGTAGCTGATCATATCTGCTTTTGATTAATTTTCTTAGGAGAGATCAATATTCAAACAACTTCGCAAATATCTTCTAGAAAAGTCCAAGGAAGATGAGCAAATACATAAAATATTGAACGAAGTGCTTCAATCTGACAATGCGGGGATCATTTTCAGTGAGAGAGTGATTAATATGCCGGTAGGAATTGTCCCGCCAATGTATAAAATGTTAATCGAAGAGATCCAATGGGCAGTCGATGAGGTAAATATCCAATTGAAGGAAATTTGGTTTATACTGCTAGAGTTGAACGACATTAGTAGTAACGAATATTATGTGCGTCAATAATAGAATGAACCGTACAAGTTTGACTGGTATTTGATATTCTCGAGAACGTTTAGAGAGATTGAATCGACACTTGGATCGGAGCACAGTGGAAATAAAAAGAAGAAGAAAAAGCCCGATACAGTAAGCACAGTATATACATTACTGAGTTTTTTCCTGGAAGCAATTGTCATTACTTATTCTTGTTTATTTACACACTTTTGTGCAGTTGTCTTACTTCCATCCTGAAGATGAGATAATTGAGCAGGTAGGAATGTTCTGTAGATGTGTCTGTATATACAAAGTGAAAACATGTTAACATATAAATACTCCGTGTCGGTTCTGTAGAAATCAGATTTCATATTCGATTTCAAATTTACTCAGCAGCAAGCCTCTTCAGATTCAAAACGGACATTTTATGATTTTGGGGTGTCAACAGCCATGCGATTATTTATTTTGCGAGGGGATAAGCTTCAAGCGGTGGCTGATGAATTAGAGAAGGCGTGTCAATGACCGCTTCGTATTAAACTAAATTAAAATTGTCAAGGAAAATCTATTCAATTATTTGACATATACGAACCGTTGACGCGTGCCATAAAGATATTCTATCAATCGTCTAGTTTGTCCAGCGTTATGGTTCCACTACTAGTTCACCGAAATATGCGACGTTTGCTTTCAGGGTATCATTGACGCGCATCTCTTGTACCTCTACCGTGTTGCCTGTGCCTGCAAGCAATCGAAGCTAACGGGAAGATACAATGACATTAAAATATATATAAGGGACAATATGTCTGTTTAGTCAGTTGATTGTACCTGATAGATGTTCACATGTCGTGGAAGATAATATGCGATGTTCTTTGTAATTATCTTTGCTCTCTTGTATAATTTCATACTGTACGGAGAATGCGAATACAGAAAAATACATTAGACATACAAATATACTACGAATAAGCGCAACATGCAATTTGAGTATGATTGATTTTGAAACATTATATAAATACCCATCGATAGTAATCATCGTCTTGATGTCAAACTCTACGCAATCTAGATATGTAGGTCCTGATTTGTTACACATTTAGTAGCATGATTAAGTTTTCGATGTGAGTGGTCAGTTAAGAGAAGAATATGGCAATCAGACGCCTAGAATTTACCTCCCCAAGGAGGACTAAGGAATACTACGTCAGCCTGTACAAACACGATAGTATCATCAGTGATTCATATCAAAATAAAGTAACCGTAAATATGAACTATCTTACTTGTAGTTTTGGCGCCAATTCAAAGAAATCCCCATGTATAAATTCAATCCGATCCTCCACTCCATAAATTTTAGCATTCGTTTTCGCACAATGTAATCTTGTTAGGTTGTTATCGATTGCAATAACTACATGAGGCATTCATATCACATAAAATTAATAACTTTTCATAGCGTAGAAATATTCACTCTCGTAAGAGCATTACCTTTATCACACGTAAAAGCAAACTGAATAGCATTTCCGCCAACTCCACAACATGCATCGATTATAGTCCCACAGGCACATCGTTCTGCAATATGCTTTGCAAAATCTTCAGGTGTCACTGAATACCACCCCTCTAGAGAAGTATATGAAGAGTCTTAGAATGAGATCACTAAGAGGGAGAATCAAGCAAGATGTACTAGTGACAATAACCTTCGTCCATAAGTATTCCTTCATCATAACGAGAGAATAACACGTATCGTTGATACCAATATCTAAGAATAAATTTAAACTTTTAAGTAACGCAGACTCGGTATGAAATCAAGCGTGTCAACAAGGAGCGTACTTTAGTAGATGTGGCGGCATCGTTTCAATATCAAGGCTAATTGCAGAATAGTCACAGTCTAATTCATTGCCATTCCATACATTCTTATTATTGACATTGTTCACAGTATCAATTTTAACTCTCTTTGATGTTTGTTGGTATATTGAATGGTTGTTGTCCTCCTCCAATGCATCACCCTGATTTTGATCTTTGGTTTCAATCGCGGCAGTATTTGTACCTAATGCATTAACCACTTTCCGTCTATTTCTTTTCCGTTTTCGTTTCTTTGTATTGCTTAATGTGGTTGACGTGTCGCTCATTATGACGAGAATTAGAACGAGTTGCAAGTAGACCATTAATATTTTTATATGTCACACAAGCAAGTAAAATTTCCAGGGGCGCAGACCTCATGGTTTATGGTATTTGTTATTAGCGAGAAACAAGATCGATTGTGTAGAATGAATTTATTAACGTTATTATAGGTCTATCACTATGTTTCTATTGAGGCACTGATCAAGTGTCGGATGATGAATTTAAGTTTTATAAAAGTAATGGTTACCCTTTTTGTAAGGAGTTTACTAACTTGATAAATATTAGCTTTCTTTATTATGATGAGCCTGAGAGCGTGGTATTATGTATACGTATACCATATAGTATTTCACAGTTTAGTTGTAATATTGAGATTTGATGGCAGATGTATTATAAGCACATAGTAATAGGTTGTTTCTTACTTAATCAAAGTAATATTTTGAATTCTTTTAGTGGGGTTTCCAGAAATTATTTTCTCCAACGCAATAATAATGAATCGCAAGATGCTTATGCGTCATGCACAATTATAATTTTTTTAGAATACGTCTCTACAAAATCTTAATTTATCTTGTTATAAAAGATCAGATTATATTTCTGCAAAGTTGCAGATGATTTAATAATTACACTTGTAACTTTTGTTTATTAACTGTTGGGATCTTCTTTGATAAGCACACTTAATGATTTTATTTGCAATGCATAACCGGTAAAAAAAAAAGCAAGATTGTTGTATTTTTCGGTAGGTTTATTATATCTTTTTGCTTTTAAGAGTCTGTCGCGCCAACAACTGCGGGAGAGCATAGCTATTTTTGAACGGAATGTGGCCCTCCTACCTATAGTTAAATAAAATATACAGTTAGCGACCTTTAACATAGGCTTTCCTACTTACGACTCATTGTGTCGATGCGTAGACCTCGATAATCAACTTGTCCTCGAGTATGCCGCGGTTTTTTACTGTTGGGATTAAATTCGGTAATCTACCGTTGGGGCACAAATGTGTTTACAAATGCACACGGGTGTAATCGCGGAACGAGAAGCGATTATTCTTAATCGATGTAGGGGTTAGCGGCGAGCAACTATTACCAATAATTTACCAGAAAACGTAATGTGTGAGGAACCACTCGTTTATTAGAAATATTTACAATAATAAAGGAATCGAAGTAATTAGAACACTTGAACACTCTGAAATTTACGCTGCTTATATCTTTTGAACGGACTAATTAATCCATTTTTAACAGCGACAAGCGATTATTACTAATTATTTTACTATATTGTTATAAGTATACTGGTTGTTGCTGGTGTTACCATCCGATCGAATAATTTCTTTAACGTCATAATTAATATCAGTCTCCACAAGTCCATGTAATTTTTTTGATGAGAACAAATGAAATACTCACTAGACTGATTTAATATTATTTATGCATGGCTTCAGCTTTTGAATATTGGAGGGAGTTCAAGTTTAGGTCCTCTACCAGATATTCAATCAGCATTTGCCCGTTACTGCAGAAAAGGCACACGAATAACCTAGATCTGGTGTAATTTAATCTTATTAGAACAAGGTGAGTCCCAAATTTTCGGTAACTCGGTTACGTCTTTCACCCCGTAGAATTGCAGGAGTTGGCCTGTTTATCCTAAATTGTGTCTTAATAATCCGATGGCCTTAGATGCTGTAGCCTTTGCTGCAAATTCCCACTCCCCAACATCATTTCCTGCCTTTAGTCTAGCTCGCACTCCTGCTAAGTAGAGCAAAATAAGTCACCCCCCTCAAGTAATAACATTATAACACGTAAATAGCCATGCCATGTTATTCAGATTAATCAATCGTTTATACTAATCACTGTTGGCAACATAGTACTTTTTAAAAAAACGGCGACTATAGGCAGATTGTGACTGTAGACAGAGTAAATTCCTTATGTTCACTAAGAAACTGGCGTAGACACAGTTTTCATATGGTGTGAATAGAGGCAAAGGGACTTTAGACAGGGTTGACTGTATATTAGGGCAAGTAAAACACGTTATAAAAAAGTCGTCGCGTTGGACCAATACCGAAAATCTCTTATAAGAGAGTCATTAGAATGTTAAATCGGTAGATGAATACGATTAAATTACCTCATCGCCTTTTTTGTTGTACCAGTGAATAAACTGATTTCCAAACGGGATTGGCTCGATGAACGCACTATAAATAGCACGATTACTGAAAATGTCTGTCGATACGGAAAACCAATTTGCGATAAAAATCTACCAGTGAATAAATTAAATTTAAACACGGATTTTATTAGAATATAAAGACCTATTCTAATGCAAAGTACGTGTATTATTTGATTAAGAACAATATTCGAAATAAAAGATGAATTAAGACGCTAAAGATACTGATTGCTAGGGTACTTACATACCTTTCCATCGTTTCATTAAACTAATTGCTTGTTAAGATTTTTCGATAAAACGGGACAATCAAAGTGTCAAGAATTTTCTCGACATGCTTGCATCTGTCACGAATTCCGCAGCTTTTGCATTCCAATGTGTGGTGTCACAGATTCCGTACCACCGACGGCGGAAATCACAGAGAATACGGCGTAATGTTATACTCAATCCTGAACAATTCAGTTAACTAGACAATGTCCTGGAATGAATTATCACAGACTGATGCACTTGAATTGAGAAATAGTGGGGCAGACTATTTGATGCTTGGTCAATATGAAAAGGCATTGAAGCATTTTATGAAATCTTTGGAATATGAACCAAATAATACATTAACATTGAGACTATCAGCAGATACCTACTATTACTATATGCTAATGCTTAATCAGTATGTGTATATATTAGATATGAATGGTTACCAAATTGGAGCTGCAGGAGCAACAGCTTTGGCAAAGGCTCTAGAATCAAATTCCTCTCTGACTTCTTTGAATCTCCGGTATAATCAAGTTGGAGCTGTAGGAGCAACAGCTTTGGCAAAGGCTCTAGAATCAAATTCCTCTCTGACTTCTTTGAATCTCCAGGATAATCAAATTGGAAATACAGGAGCAACAGCTTTGGCAAAGGCTCTAGAATCAAATTTCTCTCTTACTCTGACTTTTTTGAATCTCCAGGATAATGAAATTGGAGATACAGGAGCAACAGCTTTAGCAAAGGTTCTAGAATCAAATTCCTCTCTGACTTCTTTGAATCTCCAGGATAATCAAATTGGATATACAGGAGCAACAGCTTTGGCAAAGGCTCTAGAATCAAATTCCTCTCTGACTTTTTTGAATATCAGAAATAATCAAATTGGAGCTGCAGGAGCAACAACTTTGGCAAAGGCTTTGGAATCAAATTCTTCTTTAACATCTCTGGATCTCTGGTATAATTAAATTGGAGATACAGGAGCAACAGCTTTAGCAAAGGCTCTAGAATCAAATTCCTCTCTGACTTTTTTGAATCTCCAGAATAATCAAATTGGTGATACAGGAGCAAAAGCTTTAGCAAAGGCTCTAGTACTAGAATCAAATTCCTCTTTGATTCTTAAATTAGTTAAGTCTATATCTACTCAAGTTGCTCATTTTTTCAGAGATGCCTTGTTATTTCCCAGAAGGAGCAAGATAAAGAGCTATTTAGGGGAAGGTTATTGATAATTGGATATAAAATGACAAATTATTGAATTATTTGATGTTTTTGATGTTTATGGTTAGTAAGTTTGATATTTTGGAAAAGGCAAAAATATGATTTTTTGTTAGATTTAAGGGGGTTCAGATAGTATGGTTATGGTTATCACCAATATTAATTTGGGAGATTATCCCATTGTTTTTTGCACATTTTATACTTTCATTGAATATGAAATGTACTAACTCAGCTACCATTGGAAAAGTATTTGGTCAAGCATTTTTTAAAATGTTCAAGATTGAACATATTAACTAGAAACTAGGCAAAAGGTGTTTTTTTTTAAATGAATCTCCTGTTGTGAACGCGATGGGCTATTCCTGAGGGTTCTTTTCAGCATCGCTTCATGATGGGCTTGTGTGATTAACGATTATACTAGTCGTAATTGTATTAGCCGTTACGTATACGAG